ATTTCCTGAACCACTACAGCGACTATGAGAGCCATACCATATGTTCATACATTGTATCATACATACTTGCCATTTTGTTCTATTAATAGAACTAGACCAACTCTTTTATGTTTGGTATTTTGCTGAGGCCTTTTAATGGCCTCATCCAAATATCTGATATGTTAAATGGAAAAAGTTTAATTAATAAAACCATTAAAAACCATTTTAGGAAACTTAAGTTCCTCGTGCTATTAAGAACACATTTGGGAGACTTAAGTTCCTCGTACTATTAAGAGTACATTTAGGAAACTTAAGTTCCTCGTACTATTAAGAGCACATTTAGGAGACTTAAGTTCCTCGTACTATTAAGAGTACATTTAGGAGACTTAAGTTCCTCGTACTATTAAGAGTACATTTAGGAAACTTAAGTTCCTCGTACTATTAAGAGTACGTTTATAATTTGCGTACTGCTTAGGAGTGCGTTTATACATAGAGTCTAATATGGAGGCCCGGCTTATTACACGGCCCCCACCCAGCTTTGAGACCCAAGAGAAGCAAGTTGCTCATTCAAGCTGAATATGGGTCTAAAAACGAAAAACGAAAAGCGGGTCGAAACTTTAAGTAGCATAACATATAGTTAATGTTTCTCAGGCGGAGAAGTTAAATGTTCTCGGTTACCCTGTGAGTTTTGGGCTTAGGTCCAGTAGGTCCGTGGTGGTCGACTGGACGTTCCTTACGCTTCAGTGTCTTAATCACATATGAAGGATGAGCATTAAGGCTCGGGATAAATGCTGTAGGCGGATAAGTTTTAACTTCCGTTCCTTCAGACGATGCTATCTTTTTCAACTTGTTACCTATGCAGGCGTTTACGCCATTTTCGATTAAAGGCTTTTAAATAGCCTTGGTTATCGAAAGCATCTGGAGTCAACTCAGCTATTGTACTGTGTATAAAGCGTGTACGATAGTATGTATAGCCATCCATATCCGTTCTCCATATAATGTCTTTAAATTCAGAACGATCAAGAGGGACATTAGAGTCATGTCTTCTTGCGAGTATAATCTCTGTCGTCGGAATACGACTTGTGCCTATATTAAGCGCACTAGAACCATCGGAGATATTTACCTCGTACGTTCCACTTTTAGTGTCTGCTACAGAGATTATGTATGGACCTATTCATTTAGATGTTAATACAGTAGCATCGGAATTACGTTGACGGATGTTAACTCTGTCACCAACCTGATACTTTGCTATCTTCTTGGTAGTGTTCCCACGCTTTTGCTTTTTTAATAAGGCTATATTGCGTATTTCTCGCAAGCAAGGATATACAACGTTATAAATACGTTGGACCTTCTCTAACCATGGTAACTCGTGGTGATCGGGTTCGTCCTTGTTAAAAGGAATTTGTAACTTACTATATCTGCCACGAAAATAGTGAGCAGGTGTAGTTCCTGTAACCGGATCAGCACACTCGTTCATCTGTGTTTGTACCCACTTAAAGTGGTACGGCCAATCATCTGCATCATCCGTTAATGCAGTACGTAAGAAGAACTTAAGTCTTCTATAGCGCGTTTCATTCGCGCCTTGCGTTTGCGGCTTATATGTCACACCTCTCTTATGGCATATGCCTGATACGAGTACTAGCGATTCCATAACGTCATCGCAGAACTCACTTCCGTTATCAGTGCACATAATACCCGGCCACCCGTGGTCAGCAAAGACTTGGCAACATAATTCTGCCACTGTCTGCGTATTCTTATCCTTTAATGGATAGAGCAAGTTAAACCGTGACGCCACATCAAAGAAGTGACATACATAACGGTCGCCTGTGTGCTCGGACGTGGGCAGGTCAACC